CTTTCATGATATGAAATGTGGAAATCAAGAAAAAAAAAGTAATAGACAAGAGAATTTGTTTGCTAAAAAGCCAGAGGCCAATGAAACCCAGTGAGTAGTAAGCCCAAATAGAACTAAATGTTCTTGGTGACGACATTCAGCCCACTGGCTGAAAGCATAGCTCTTTCATCCTTCCCCGTCTTCATACACATCCTGTCCTTAAATGTCTCACATTCTCATGCTAAGGGTCCTTGTAAAGAGCTTCTTGTTTAAAATTGTGCTTAGTGATAGCTCACACTGTAGAAGATGACTTATCTTTTTAGAAGAAGCAAAACATTGTCAGAATTATTTTGCATCCTTTTGGCAGCACGCTGAAACTGGGTAATCTATGAAATTGGTGGGAGTTTTTGTGCTGTTCAACTCTTTGCAGAGTAATAAGATTCCCAAATATATCCTAAATGTTGAGCTTGTGTAGGCAAAGATAAAGGATCTGTGCGGGCAATTTACTGGAAATACATTTCCGGATCTCAGCTTGAGAAGACCAGAAAAGACCTGGTTTGTTTCCAAACTTTCGTTTAGGTTTCTGTGCCCCCTAGTGGGCAGTTAGTATTCATGCGGAATAGTGCCGATAATTTGACAACCGTTCTTTTGTTCAATTGAATTGAGATCAGCAATATATGGCATTGAGATTCCCTAAACTTTTACATAATCTTTTAAATATTATTGAGCCATAATCGTTATTTAACCAAAAGACCTCGAGTTATGGAAGACAATCTCCTGGTTTAAATGTTTTCTATTTTGTTCTGTTTTTTCAACTCTGAAGGACTCAGTTATAGAGTGGATGCCCAGCCTAAGTAAAGATTGCCTCTTGAGAAAAGCAAATGAGGTTAGGGAAATGGAAAAACAAAGTGAAGGGCAGAGCTTTATTCTGGACAATTCACTATTGTGGGTCTGCATTACCCCGCTGAACCTCATTCATGAATTCTCTGAAAGCCTATTTTATCCCAGTAAAGACCTCTAGTTATGAAAGAGAATCTTCCAGTTTCCCCTTTTGGTTTAATGGAGGCTTAATGTGTCAGTTTTCTAAACAACAAGGAAAGGATTTTTAAATATACTTTTTAAAAGAATAATATCTCATAGTTTGGATGAAAGAAGAGATACCACACAGCTATTGAAATAATGTATGTGAAGTTCTCAAGCTATGAAAAAGAGAATGATTGACTCTTCGGGCAAAATAGGCAAGAACAAAATCATCGCTGCTTTTAGGCAAACGTTGATTTCAAAATGTCAAAGAGCAATCTCACCACTGTGAAATTAATACCAAGCCCCCCTGGCAAACAAGTACTGTACCAGAAGCAGGTGTTATATGGCAGCACTTTAAAAAGTCATTTGCTATTTGCAAACATTGCAGCTACTATAAAAACTATCCATCAAATTGTGATCCTTCTAGATTGCACACTGATGGCAGAAAATCCATGAATAGCATAGCCACTGAGACCCTAAGGGATAGAAATATTAGTTAATAAGTAATCCAGTTTCCGGGTCAGAAGAAATTGTTTCTTATACCTATTGGATGAGCACTCGGGCCAAAAAACAAACACAAACAACCCTTCAAACACAAAATCAATCAAACACACACACACACACACACACACACACAAACACACACTCCACGGAGGGGTAGGGGAGCTATTGACTTTCACCAGGATATGATAAATATCACTTACATTTATCTAACTTTTAAAGAAAATTCGTCTTTCAAATATTCTTCCAAGAACTGGTTTGTGCGCAGATGGAGTTGTGTTTAACTATTTTAGTAGTTGATATATAGAACCATGGCTCCAGCACCTGAATCCATCAACAGACATTATTATTATTATTATTATTATTATTATTATTATGGACTTTATTACATCTGCATGGGCTCCAGCCATTCTATTCTTCATACCTGCTAACTTGTGACTCTTCATCATAGAAGAACAGAAAGGACAAGGATGAGACTGAGCATTAATATCGACGTTTCTTCCTTTTAAATGAAGGTCCCTTCTATGTGCATAATTGTGTTTTTTTTTTGAAACACTGTTTCTGTCTTCCCTCTTAGTATCCAAGGAAAATAGATTTGTAAGCCAAGAATTTGCTATTTTACAGTGTTTTTCATTTATTATGTGAATATACATATATATTCATTAGGTCAGGAAAAAATAAACCGTATGAATAAGAACAGAAATCTATCAATGTAGACCTCAAAACTGTGTAAAAAATTACAATTTTTGAGATCTCTAAGCCAAAAAATTTTTGTTTACATGTCAAATGGTGAAACTAAATGGATATAAATAAAATTTTATTTGCAGTATGTTGTGCCTAACAATGAACAGTCGTTTCTGGCCTATATAAACACAAAAATGGGAAGATTAATAGCCTGACCAATAGATAACTGACACGCACATATGCATAAACAGAAAATAAATATACGCAGATTCACTTAGGTTCTTTGTAACGGATCATAATGTACCACGTGGAGCGTTGAACAAAAAGAGGAGATGCTGAGTTCAAGGACTTTGCACGAAACTTCAAACCACAATTGAGACTGAAGCCCTCACCGAGCAGGATTTAAACACGTCAGACTGTGGCGTCTGAGTGTGCTAGGCAAGTGCCCCTGATGTCTCTGCAGAGCCCAGGCTGCAGTGAAGTTGTTCGGTGCGACCTGAGGGAATGCTGCTAGAAACAAGTCGGATTTGTTACCAGTTTGATTTTAAATTAATTTTTCTACTGCAGTGTTCAGGGAATTTTTACCGAACCCCACAACCAGTTATGCAAACTCACATGCACTCTTGAATTTCTATGAACCCCACAACCTATTATGCAACCCCACATACAGTCAGATCCCATGATTGGAGAGTTGGACAATGATTAATGCAGTACAGGCATTCTGTTGCAGGGATTTGAACTGTGGTGAATTAGCTTGACTGCTGATCACCCACAAGCACTAAGAATGAGTAAAGAAAATCAAAACATGGAATAGAACCTTAATTGGGTCCTCAAATGTGCTATTGATCAGTATCCTGTCTGTCACTGTCACTGGCCTTTGCTTGACCAATTTCTCTGTAATTCTATCTAATGGTTGACACAAAATGTTTTCTCACAAGAATCATATTAATATGGATCAGCATTTTCTAATAAATACCTGAAAATACAGTATTCTTTCCCAGGAATAAGCCTTTAGCAATCTTTGTTATTAAAGAAGAGAAATATGTATGCATTCGGCTGATATATGGCAAGAGCCTGTTTCATGCTAGGAAGACATAAAGTGAAACAGCTCCCTCTCTGTCAACTTTATTTTATGGAGAATGAAAAGTAAAGAGAAAATATCAGACTGGAGACACAGCTCGATTATAAACCCCTGACTAGCATGTAAAATGTCCTAGGTTCAATCCCCAGTACCACGGACAAGAATAAAAAGTAAATATTATACCATGTGTGGATAAGAACTGTGAAAGTAATCAAATGGGAAGTTGTTATGGAACGTGGGCAGAGAAGGGGCAGGAATTCTGTGGACAAGGTAGATGGGAAATAGCACTTGTAATGAAGATATTTAATAGGCACCTCTTGAGTGACATGGGGCCACACACAAAGCAGAAGGTCAAATGGCCAGTGTGTCCACAAGACACACTCTGTGAAGTAGATAGAAACTAAATAGGCATCATATTAACATAATCTGGAGACAAAGGGATGAGTTTCCATTTGTTTTAGTTTGGGCTCCATTGGAAAGCTGAGATAGTACTTCAGCTGTCCAGTTCCTGCTTTAAAAGCACAGTTCTACTCCATGAATTGTACTGTGATGAATGTGTCCTTAAGCTGCTCTGTCCATTGGTTGGTGGTCATGTGGAAGGTGAGTGAAGAGAGCCAAATGGGTTTCTAAATGCCTTAGAAGTGAAAGGAGTAACTGGAAGACAGGATGTGATTATAGCAAGGGCCGGGTAGCTCAGTCAGGATTGACACAAGAATCTAATGGGGTCAGGGCAAGAAAGTTCTGCTTAGCAATAGATGGCGAACTGTAAAAACTGATTTGAGCTCCAGCAGAGGATGCTAGGAACATCTGTTCTGTTTTGTCTAGTGTAAGATTTCATGGGCTCTCGGGCATCCAGGTTTAGAAATAATCAGACTAGACCACTGAGGACCGGAGTCTCATCCATTGAGGCTATCAGTGAAGAGACTAGGGTATCTGCTACTGAAAACCAGCCTTAAGCTATGAGATCAGCTGAAATAATACAAGGAAAAAAGTCTATATGAAGAAGATTAAATGAATCAAAACTGTGATATAAATTACACAATGCCTTAGAAATCAGATAAAGGGAAAGAAGCCAGAAAAGATGAGAAAGTAGTACCCAGTGAGGTAAGAGGGTGACTAATGCTGAAGCAAGAACAAAGTGTCACAGAGAACGGTCACCTAATCACACATAAGCACAAGACTGGGTAAGGTCATCATGAGAAATGGCTGTCGGACATCACATGTGAAGGTTAATGGGACTCTTGCAAAGTTTGTTTTAAAAAATGATTGGAGCTGATGAAGGACATGTGATGTGATGTCCAACTTTTTCTGCTTAAATTTCATCACCCATCCAGTACTGAAACAAATTAAGTGGGAAAGTGTGTTATCTAGACTATAAATCCAGCATAGAAATATTGACTATTAAATAAATGAAAAAAACCCAAATTATGCTACATTATATAAAAGGCAATTTGAAAAGCTATCATGACATCATCAGGCTTTAAATATTTTTTAATTTGAGAGGTTTCTAAATGCTATCATCATTTTCTACAAGGTTGAAAGGTAATTTTTGTAAGTCTATAATCATAATTTCTCAGTTATTGCTTTGAAGCCTTGCATATTGTGGTTATGAAGTAGAAACAGAGATATTTCCCAAGTATCATTTGACTAAAGTGAAGAAAAAATAAGAACTATTTGCAACAGGAAGAAGTGTGGCCTGTGACTTAGGACAATTTTTTTTTCTCTAATCCAGGTATGGCGACATGGTACCAAAAACCATAGCAGGGAAGATTTTTGGGTCCATCTGCTCACTGAGCGGCGTCTTGGTGATTGCTCTGCCTGTGCCTGTGATAGTGTCTAACTTCAGTCGGATCTACCACCAAAACCAACGCGCAGACAAACGAAGGGCACAGAAGGTAGGCATTAAACTCTGAGTGCGAGCATTACCTGCCATTTATCACTTTCTATAACTGATCTATGAAATCCTCACCACTCATTCAGTCCTAGGTTAATGATGAAAAGAACACATCTCAGGAGCTTCTCAGAAGCTTAAAAAAGGGGGTTGTGTTTTAACTAATGAGAAGGGATGTAGATCTCAGTCATGCTACTGGTCCATCAGCCTAGGAGTAGAAACTCCCTGTGCACCGTGCCTCTACATGGACATGAGGAATCGCACTCTGCCTCCTGTGCCTCTCTTGAAATGGCCCCAGAGTCTGGCACCTCTGCTGTCTTAGCCAAAACTGGTCTCACAACCCCATCTAGATTAACAGTGGCAGGGAATTGCCACGATGGATCAGGAAGTAGAAAGTAAAGAGTAATTGTGCATAGTATTAATGTTTTTTCATATATATATATATATATATATATATATATATATATATATATATATA